CCAAATCTGGCTTTTTAAGTGATATTCTTTTAAGAAGTCTGACTTACGTGCTGTGGCTGCAAAAATAGTTAAAAAAGGCTAAATCAAGTGTGTAATTTCTGATAAAGTTGTCTTCGATATTATTCTAACATCCTCAGAAATGTTAAGGGAGTGGAAATGGGCAGTAAAAGTCTGCTAGGTAGCCCAAAGTAAGTTTAGAAGCGGGGGATAGTTATAGCCCAGAGGGAAGAGTATATTGGGTAAAAGAGTACACTGGGAATATGAGAAAACCTTCTCCATACTCCAATTCCATCGAGGGACAAAATTTTAGAGGTGGGAGAAGTTGTCCCAGCCCAAAAGAAGAACCTGGTGGGCACCATTGGTGGTGAAATGTTAATTTCCTTCTTCAGCCTGGGTGTAAACTGCAGCTGCTTCCTCTGCTTTATGAACTTTTATTCTGCATCTCTTCATCTTCTCTTTCATTTACTTCTTTCCTTGTGGAGTTTACTCCAGCAGGAGTGTCCTTTGCCTCCGGTGAAGTTTAAGGCTGATCTCTTTTTTTTTTTTTTTGTTCTGTCATCTATAACTTTTCATCTGGTTTAAGAAGATCTGACAGGAGGACAGCGCAGACTTTATAATACTGGAGTGTCACTGTACATCTCAGGTAAGTTTGTGGAGTAGTCTGTCCAAAGGAAGGGTGTAATGCTGAACGGGACCTGTCTAAATCGGAGCACACACACGCAGGGTGAAGAGCTGTCATCTTCCAGGCAGCCTAGCAGGCTCTTGTCCACCCAGCGTTTCTTAGAGCCTGTCAGGGAATATACTACGTTTCCACCTCTCCTCCTGCTTCTCTGCCAAGGAAGGACATTTGAGATGGAACAACTGCATAGCACTTCACTGACCCTGTCTATCCCTGCACATGACTCTGCATGATGACAGCAGGGTCTAATGGTGAGATTAAAAAAAATAAGTAATTGAAATGAAGCTTCTAGAGATCTACACTTACGCACTGAAATAAATACCCCTCATTCAAAAGTAACAAGCATCTACATGTTCCTATTGACACAAAGTAGGTCTTGTGGAAGATATTCTTAAGGTTGAAGCCTCCACTGGCCAACAAGATGAAAATAAATGGGTCCTCCATGGGACAACCTCTGTGGTTCTCCATGGGTATTTCACTCCACTGTGATGTTTGCAGTGCAGATATCGGGTCCACCATGGTCTCTATGGGTTGTGGGGGGACAACCTGTGTCACCACGGTCTCCTCCCCAGGCTGCAAGAGAATCTCTGCTCTGGTGTCTGGAGCATCTCCTCCCCCTCCTTCTTCACTGACCTTGGTTGTTTCTCTTACATATTCTCACTCCTCTCTTCCAACTGCTGTGCAGCGGTTTTTACCCTTTCTTAAATGTGTTCTCACAGAAGCACTACCAGCTTTGCTGATGGGCTCAGCTTTGGCCGAGAAGTGCCCAAAAGATGAGCTACGAGTACCAGTGCAAAGACACATGCTGGTACAAGCAACATAAGCCAGGTGTTAGATATGTGTAGACAGAAAAGATAGTTTGTGTTTTCTTGTGTAGGTGAGATATTGAATAAGATGGGCACCGAAGGCTTGCATGTGAAAAAGCATTCCCTATTGAGTAATCAGATGGCTGCTTTTTTGCAGCTTCCTAGAGAACAGATGCCCTGCGTGCACAGCCTGTGAACACGCAGGTTACAGTAAGCTACGTGAGTATGCACAGAGTTGATAGTAAGTTGCTATGTGGGATGCATTTCTTTACCTTGCGTATACGCTCTTGAGTGACACTGGCTCCCCTTCCTGAAGTTCAAGCTGGGAGGAGATTTTTCCTGAAGAATGGAGCTCCTATTTCCAGTAAGAATTACCATTGCTCACAGGATCTGGTTCTCTTTCAGCCTTTCTCACATGACAGATAGAAATCTTCGTAGAAGGAAAGTGGCACAATGCCTTGGAAGTCTGCCCAAGTATTCTTGTAGGGACTGAAAACCAAAAAAATCCCTCCTTTTTAAAAAATTGTTTTTATGGGTGAGGAGGGCTATGGTAGTTAGTAGGTGTATATAATGACGTATGGGAATAGGTGATGTTGATCTATGACATACAGTTTCCTCACCCGATCAGTTCTCTCTCTCATATACACCCTGAGCCTTGTTTTAGAAAAGACAACAGATCTGGATTATTTTTCCAATGTGGAAAAAGATTGCATTTTTCTTTAGAGCAACACCCTTTGTCCCATGTTCTCTGAGTGAGTGTGGTTTGCTGCTTTCTTTTCTTGACAACCTTCCTTCATCTTTCTCTCCTGGAGGCTGGTCATGCCACTAAGAGAGGGCAGCAACCAAGCACAGAAACTACACGCCTGGCTCTATATTAGGTCACAGGGGAATTTAATTCAAGGGATCATTAACACAGAAGTTCTGTGTCTTTCTGTAATTACAGCTCAGTGCACTTAGCCTGCTGCCAATTTGTTCTCACTGCAAAAGCAAACCTCTGAATTGTTCTCTTGTCTTTATATTTTCTTTCAAACAAAAGAAATCAGCCCAAACTTCTGTTGAATTATTTGAAACTTAGTTCCATGCCACGGGACATTGCTCTGAAAATGTTGTATAAACAGCATAGATCCCACACCTGCATTTCTGTTCAATGGTTCTGTTTAATAACCTCATCAGTGCTGTTCAATATCTTCATCAATGACATGGACAATGGGACCTAGTGCACCCTCAGACAACACCAAGGTGAGTGGTGTGGCTGACAGATTTGAGGGATGGGATGCCATCCAGAGGGACCTGGAGAGGCTTGAGGAGTGGGCCCATGTGAACCTCATGTGGTTCAACAAGGCCAAGGGTAGGGCCCAGCGCCTGGCTGGGGGCAACCTCCAGTATCAGTACAGGCTGGGGGATAAAGGGATTGAGGGCAGCCCTGCTGAGAAGGACTTGCGGGTACTAGTGGATGAAAAGCTGGACAGGAGCTGACAATGTGTGCTCAGAGCCCAGAAAGCCAACTTCATCCTGGGCTGCATCAAAAGAAATGCAGCCAGCAGGTCCAGGGAGGTGATTCTGTCCCTCTACTCTGCTCTGGTGAGACGCCACCTGGAGTATGGTGTCCAGCCCTAGAGTCCTCATCACAGGAAAGCTATGGACCTGTTGGAATGGGTCCAGAGGAGGGCAACGAAGATGATCAGAGGGATGGAGCATCTCTCCAATGAGGACAGGCTGAGAGAGTTGTGGTTGTTCTGCCTGGAGAAGAGAAGGTTTGCGGGGGGCCATATCATGACTTTTCAGTACCTAAAGGGGGCTTCCAAGAAAGACGGGGACAGAATTTTTGGTTGGGCCTGTTGTGACAGGACAAGGGGTAATGGCTTTAAACTGGAAGAGAGTAGAATTAGACTAGGTACAAGAAAGGAAATTTTTTACAGTGAGGGTGGTGAAATATTGGCACAGGTTGCCCAGAGAGGTGGGAGATGCCCCATCCCTGGAAGCATTCAAGGTCAGCCTGGATGGGGCTCTGAGCAACCTGATCTAGTTGGAGATGTCCCTGCTTGTTGCAGGGGGGCTGGAGTAGATGACCCTTAAAGGTCCCTTCTAACCCAAACTATTCTATCATTCTATAATTTCCACAGCTTTATAAAGGACTAAAAGCATGTAACAAACATGTGTACAGCTATGCTGTACCTTTATTTCTGAGTTTAAGACATTTTCATGTTGTCACCTTCCTACTGCAGGCAGTGTTACCGATAATACCCTGCTCTGCTCTTTAATGGGCAGCATTTTCTCTCAAATCCATCATTCCGGTAAGATCCAGAGCCACTTTCTTCATGTGTAAGGCTCCATGATTAGACCACCACATATCTTTAAAGATTTGCATATTCCAATATTTATTGACCTGTTCCAGGTTCAACCTGTTTCAGAAACACAAGTAATCTGGTTGGCTTTAATACAGATAATTAGCCCCGAAAGAGCTGCAACGTTTCGGCCCCTACCTGCAGAGGCAATCGTCTCTTCTGCCCACAGTTTTGGGATCACAAGATTAAAACACAGTGTTCCCTGCACACTTTCAGTTAACATAGAAAATGCCGGGGGCCTACAAAAATGGTTGTAGAGAGAGGGAGGCTCCATGTGAGAACAAGAAGCCATCCCCAGGCAGACTGCGGGCAGCCAGACGGGACTGTAAGGCCGGGAAGGCAGGGAGCGGTGGGTGACTCCTGCCGCCTGTGCTATACTTAGATTTAACCGGACTAATGCTGGCTTAACCTCGTGTGTAAAAAAAGGAAAAGCCTCTGGGTGCGTCAGGCCCAGCCCCAGCTGTGGGAGAGCTTGATGGGCATCTCCGGGCAGGAGGAACTGGGAGAGCACCAAGCCCACGAGGAAGGTGTCCAGGCCTGGAGAGCATCACGCCAGAGACCTCTCAGGGTGGCCGAGGGGAACACCCGCCGTCCCACCGGTGACCCCGCTCCTTTCCCCTCAGCTGGGAGGCGACGGAAGGAGAGGAGGGGAAGGGGGGTCAGAGGGGAGCTCTGCTCTCTGCCCCCTCCAGCCCTGTCTCCTCCGTGGGGCCTGTGGGCACCGTTAGCACATCTGACAGCCGCAGCTCCAGCCGGGAGGGGGGACACCCTTCCGCCTGGGTCTCACTGAGTTCGGCCGGCGTGAGAGTTCAGCAGGGAAAAGGGCTGGGAGCTGTGCTGGCAGGGGGGCTCCGGGGCTCAGTCCCCACACGAAGCACCGCGGGCACCCAGACCCTCTCCCATCCAGCCCGGCCCCACTCACTGGGGCCGGACCTCCGGGGCGGCAGGGGGCGCCCTGACTCCTTCCGCCCCCGGCCGGGCGGGAGGAAGGACGCTATTGGCCCAGCCGCCCGCCGGCCCCGCCTTCTCCCCCATCACGTGGCCTCACCTTGGCCTCCAGCAGGGCGCGGCGTACGCTCCCCCGCCCCCCCCCCAGCCCCGGCTTGGCGACCGGAAGTGGCCATCGGGCGAGTGAGTGCGGGCTGCGTCGCTGCTGGTGC